CGAGACCTAGATAAAAATGAATTTTAGGTTGAAATCCAATTAATTGTGGCGCCCTATATCCCGCCACATTTTTTGCCATGCTAAGATATTCACTGACCACATTTTAGTCGGCAAGAATTCAAGTGGGAAGTGAAAATTTGAGTAGAAGGGAAATTGTCTACTGTAAAAATTGATTATTCAATTTTATTTTATTTTTACATATTTTTATCAATATTTCGTTGGATTTAGAAATTGGTTATTCAATTTTTTTACATATTTTTATTAACGTTTAAATATTTTTACCAATATTTCGACAGATTTTTCTAGTTAGTAACTATTTAATATTTTTTTTATGACCAATAGCAAAGAAATACAAAAGAATCTCGCAAGACTCTCAGTCTATCTCAAAATAAGCGAATCTCTCTCTATAAATTGATCATCTCACTTTGATATTCTCTCAATACTATGCCAGTGCAAATCCTTACCTTTAAGACTAAACTCAGTTCACCAAAATCGAATCTGAAGAATATTCTGGTAGCGCTGGATTGTAGAGATGGTGTTGCTTTGGTGACGTGGTCGAGATTTATCGAATTTTTAGGTCGCATCTAAATAGTTGATCACAAGTAACCAAATAATTGATCACATACACCAAATAGTGGGTCACCACTAGAAACCTATTCATTCTCTCAGCAATTCCATTTTTTCCATGAGTGTATGTTGAAGTTTTCACAAAAATCCAACCTTTTCATGGAAGTCTTTTCTATTTTCCAATTATACGGTTTTCACATAAATCCAACCTTTTTACGGAAGGACTGGGTGAAGGTGTATGTGTTGGGGTCTTACTTACATGAGGTTCCTCACCAAAGAGCTTGATAACCACAGCCTGGCCGATGCTAGATTTGAAGTTAGGGAACCACTATTACAGATAAAGGACTTGCTGATAACCAATGGTAAGTGGAATGGAAGTCGGCTTCGAGAGTTAATGAGTGTTACTAAATAATACAAAAAAAAGAGGGAAAATGTAGCGCCAAGT